GGGGGCTCTGCACGGCAGGTCGGCGGCTCGAGCGGCCCGGCCTCGGGTCAGTTATGCCTTCGGGGCCGGGGCCCGGGCGGGGGCGGCGTGTCTGGCCAGAGCCGCGCCCACGCTCGCTAGTGGCCGATGGGGCGGTGTCTCCCCGGGCCGGGACGCCGGCGCCTTGTGCCCCCGGGCCGGCCCCCTGCCACGCACCGCCTCTCCCGGGGGGGGGGGGGGGGGCTCCTTCGCCCGGGGCTGGCCAGACGCGCCGGGAAACCGGCCAGCGAGGCGCCGGTCGATTGGCATATGCGTTGGCAGCGGGATGGCGGGAAGATGCACACGTTATGTGTGAATACCATTTTGCCGGTCAGCCGCCCGCGCATCATTATCCCCCCACCCTCGTCCGGCGGCCCGCGGTGTGTGGTCCTGGCCTGGTGCCACTGGCGCCTTGTTTCTCCCCCTCTCTCTCTCTCTCTCTCTCTCTCTCTCTCTCTCTCTCTCTCTCTCTCTCTCTCTGGGTCACTTCTCTGGACCGGGCGCCGTTCGCTGGACGCCGGTTTGCCGGGGCAGGTGGGGGGGGGAGGGGGGTCTCTGTCAATGCTCGGCGGCACCTCCGAACAGAGTGGCCAGGGGGGCGAAGGGGCAACGGGGGCACCCTCTCTTTGATGGGGGCGAGGGGGGCCTCCGCCTCGCCGCCTCGCCGCCACTGCCGCCGGCGCCGCGCGCGGCTGACGCATTGTTTGCCGGCCCGGCAGGGCGCAGAAGAGCCGGCACCCCGGTCCCCGCGAAGGCCGAGATCCAACAACCGAGATCGTGATCGCTCCCTCCCCCTTTGCCTTCCCTCTCTTCTCCCCCACTTTCCGTCACCATGTAAGCGCGCCCCCCTCCCATATGCCCTCCTTCCCTCTCTCTCTCTCTCTCTCTCTCTCTTCTTGCCCCCTCTCCTCCTGCCCCTTCTCCGCCTGCCCCCCCCCCTCCCTCCCTCCCTCTCCGCCCAACTCACCACCGAGCGCCTTCTTCCCTCGCGCAGGGCCACCTTCGCCCCCAAGTACCCTGTCGTTCAGCCGAACCCCACCTTCCTGGAGACCACCAAGAACATCCGTGACTCGGACATCCTGAAGGGTGGCGCCGTTGCCGCCGTCAGCATGGGCTTCCTCTTCTACCGTGCGCCTCTCCCCTGTCGCCTCTTTGGGGGCGTACCCCAAGCTCCTCCGCGTGCCTTCCCTCACGTGCCAACACGCTCACACTGCCCCTTCTTTTCCCCTTTCTCCCCCTTCGCCCCGCAGCCACCAGCATCCGCTCGGTCATCCCCGCCAACCGCCCGGCCGTCATCGCCCTCTCGACGTTCCTGTGCGCCGTCGGTGGCTTCTCCGTTGCCTACTTCGAGTCTTCCTGTACGCCGCCGCCGGCTCCATGGCCTGGCCCGCTTTGCTTCGGCTGCCCGTTCTGCTCCGCCCCTCCCTCGGCTAACCTCATCCGGTTGCGCTCGCTCCCTGCTCCCTTCATGGGCCCCGCTCGCCGCAGTCCGCCTTATGGGTCTGAAGCTCAACGACCTGGAGGTTGCCCAGCATGGCGTCTACAACGCCGCGGCCGAGCGCATGAAGTGAGGCTGCATGCCGAATGCGCCCCCCTTGCTCCCTCCCCTTTTCGTGATTTGGCCCCCCGCCACCACGATGCCCCTCACATATGTCCCCCTCCCTCCCCTCCTGCCAATTGTACTATTTCCCCCTCCCCGCCCTCGGGATCGCCAGCCTTGATCGTGGCAGGCGCGTCAACTTTGCCGCCCTCTCTCCCCTCTGCCCCCTCACACCAATAGAAATGTTTGGAATGCCTCTCTCTCCCCCCCCCCTCCCCCTCCTCCCCTCTGCCAGGCCATGCTCTGACCACATGGACGCCCCTGCGCAGGGACCACCACGAGAGGTGTGTGAGCATCTCTCGGGATGCCGGTCCGGGTACCTTGCCCTTGGGGGGGGGGTGGGGGGGGGGGGGGGGCGGAAGGGGGGCGAGGGCCGGAGACCTCTGTGCACACCCGCCACCGTGTCCCCTGCCGATGCCCTCCTGCGTGCGCGCGCACACGCACACACACACACACACACACACACACACATGGTACGCCCGGGCCATCGCCAACACCTTGCCCCCCTCCCTGGCCCCCGGACGAGAAGCACCCATGTCAATGCCGGCGCATGATGACCCATTTCCATGGGGGTGGACATTGCTGTCCGCCTCCGCGAGGCTGTGCAATCCCCGTGCGCACGACCGGACGAGGGGGGGTGCCCTTCGCGCCGCCCCTCTCCCGTGCCTGGAGAGAGCACAGCTTGTGACGAAGCAATCTTCTCGCTGATGCTGCTTGACATGTGCATGTTTTTTTTTTCCCCCACCCATGCACAGGGCGCTGTCCTGCTCTGCCTCCCTTTCGGGCTGGCCCATCTTTCTTGCCCGCTATGTCGCCTCCGCCGGCCCTTTTGCACGCATTTTCGCACGCGTATCTGACACTCGTCCACCTCCACCACCACCCCCTCCACAAAGACAGCCGGACATTTTCTCCCCCAATAAAAATGAGTCTCCCACGGCGGCAAGCGGCGCGTTCATTGGATAGAGGGCCAAAGGAGAGCATCTCCCGACCACAAGAAAAAAAAAGGGGGACGAGGGCTCGGGCAGGGTTCTTTCTTTCCACCCCCCACAGGCAGGCGTAAGGGCCGATGCAAGGCCACAGGGAACAAGAGGAGGCGCAGGGGGCGGAGGAGAGGGCCATGTGAGGGAAGGATGCCAGGGGGTGGGAGGGGGGGGGGGCCTACTCCGAGGCGTCGGCCGCCTCCGGGGTCGAGGAGGAGGAGGGGGAGGGGGACCCGGCGGCCGCGGCGGCCGCGGTGGCAGCCCCCTCGGCAGGCTCCGGGGCAGGCTGCTCCTCGGTCGGGACAGCAGCCGATGGCTGGCTCTCGGCCGGGCCGCCAGCGACAGCCTCCTCGGCGGTGGCGGCCGCGTCCTCGGACCACAGGCCCGGGTAGAGGGTGGCAAAGGTCAGGTAACTGGTATGGCCGCGCATTTCCTGGCCCATGACCAGCTGCGGCCCGAGGGACACTTGGGTTTCGCGAGCCACCTGCTCGGCGGTGACCCGGCTCAGGTCGAGCTTCTGCTGGATGGCGGCCACGGCCTCGGCGTTGGCGGAGTCAGCGCCGGCCTCCTCCAGGGCGGCCAGCTCGCGGGTGCCATAGCGGGCCAGGCTCTCGAGAGACCGCTGGCTCGCCCCGCGCAGGGCATGTGGCCGGATCAGCGTCTCGAAGGTGCGGATCTCGCTGAAGCCGAGGTCCCGCAGGGCCAGGCAGGTCCGCTGGACCTGCTCCATGCAGGGGGAATAGGAGGCCAGGCGCGTGGGGACCCGGGGGTTGAGGGCATCCCGCGCGTGGCCGATGGCCAGCCAGGGGGACGGCAGGTCCAGGAAGACGGCGTCCGCCTGGCCACGAAGCTCCTCCGTGAAGCCGAGCTCGCAGACATCGCGGCAGCGCACCGTGGCCCGGTCGGCCAGGCCATGGCGCGCAAACTCCTCGGCCGCCAGCTCGGCACGCTGGGCATGATACTCGAAGGTGTGCAGGTGCCCGGTCGGGCCGACCGTGCGTGCCAGCGAGTGGCTGAAGGACCCGGATCCGGTGCCCGACTCGACCACCACACTGCCGGGCTGGATGTTCAGCTGCATGGTGATGAAGGAAATGTCCGCCACATAGAGGATCTGGGTGCGGTGCGGCAGCGACACGGTCCACAGCTCGGGGCTCGGGTGCAGGAGGTAGGCCCAGCCGCCGCCGGGGGTGGCCCCGGTGTTGGCCTTGCCGGCGGCCTGGCGCCGGCCCTGGCCACGGCCACCGCGCGTCCCAGCACGCCCGCGCACCCGGGACCCAAAGCGCTTTCCGATCAGCTCCCGGTGCATGAAGGCCCCGGAGCGACAGTTGAAGACGCCATTTTCCGTCACCACCACGGGGTGGATGTCCGAGGGCGACTGGGCACGATGGCCATGCGGCACACATGTTAGGGACCTGGGGCGGGGCGGAACTGGGTTGAAGGGGGGGGGGGGGGGGG